AAAAAAAACTATTACTATAAAGTCCATTAGCTAAAGTTAAATGGACATTTTAGTCATTACTATTAAGTAGCAAAGTTTTTAGTAATTAAGAAAAAGAAATGAGAATTATTTTGACAGTTTACATTAAACTAATAGTTGTTACATTAACTATTACATTACATTAACACTAATAGTTACATTAACACTAATAGTTCTGCAATGATTATAAACATTCCTCTTGAAATAAATAGTTTATTCTACCGAATAGAAACTCAGGATTATAGAACTTATTAATATGCACAGGCAAAATCAAAATATTCATTAACTGATTAATAAGATGACTGATATTTTTCTAACTTTTGGAATTAACAAATGTCTAAAGGCGATAATTACTGGCAATACAGAGTAGAATATGGAAACCACTTTCATATACATCCATGCTCTGGGCTTTGATTTGCTGAATCTCCACATTTCTGTACCTTGAGAATATTGTTTCACATTGATCACCACTCAGCCCATTCCACGGAATCCAGCATGTATCCTTCAAGACTTGCTCCTCATGCTCCAGCAAACATTCACAGATGGTGTCTACTTGGACACCTGAGAGGGTATACAGACGTCAACTACTCACAACAAGAATTATGGCAGTAGCAGCAACTAAAATGACTCAATGGGTTTACTATTAAATCATAGCCTCCAGATAATTAGATAGAAGAAAATTTATTTGATAGTTGATGATAAAAATAAATTTAAAGATCAAAAAGTTAGAATCTCCTACCCTTTAAAAATTATAATGCATAATAAGTCTTTTTTTTTTTTTTTGAGAACAGAGTCTCGCTTGTTGCCTAGGCTAGAGTGAGTGCCGTGGCGTCAGCCTAGCTCACAGCAACCTCAAACTCCTGGGTCAAGCAATCCTTCTGCCTCAGCCTCCCAAGTAGCGGGACTACAGGCATGAGCCACCATGCCCGGCTAATTTTTCTATATATATTAGTGGCCAACTAGTTTCTTTCTATTTATAGTAGAGACAGGGTCTCGCTCTTGCTCAGGTGTTCAAACTCCCGACCTGGAGCAACCGCCCGCCTCGGCCTCCCAGAGAAGCTAGGATACAGGCGTGAGCCACCGCGCGCCGGCCCCATAAATAAGTCTTATAATACACAAATTCTTTAAACAGACATTTCTGGTAAAAAAAAAAAAAAAAATACACAATTCTGGATTGTACCAAATAGATTTTTTTATTTAAACAAGCAACTGAAATTATTTTATTATAGCTATTAGTGCTCAGTGCAACCTTAAATAGCACAGGTTACAAATGATGTCACTTTACAACCCCAAATAATAAACTAATAGATTAAAATGATGGCCCAAACAAATAAACTTGCTGATTTCGTTCTACAAGCAATTCCTCTTCTTTAGACATAAATGTTTGTAGAATAGTAGTAAACAATGTAAGAAAATAATGAACTAAATACATAACTTGTAACTCTTCTAATTTTTTGGTGGTTAATTAACACATGGAGATAACAGTGCAAAAATGTTCTTAGGGACTGAAATTCCTGTTCCTAGTTTCAGTCTGCAGTTTAAGCTTTCTTCCTTTATTAGAGTTTGCACAGCACTGGACACTCAGTGTTAAGAAAGAGAAATTAGACTTGTTGCCTTCAAGGAGCTCACTAGCTCAAGAAATAAGACACTATATTCTGCTTTTCCAGAGCTCTAGGAGGTACCAGGCCTTCCAAAAGTGGAGCCTGAGACAAGGTGGAGAGCAGATTCTGTATTATTTTACTTTTATTCAGGGCTGCCCAGTTAAAAATCTCCCTATATGGCCCACCAATCAAGAGATAGATTTGAATTAACCAGTTCTCTCAAAATGCTAATATACTTTATAAATGTAATTTGCTACCCACAAGCGAAAAGACAGGCAAAGAGAAAGAAAAATCACTGATAGTTTCATTGTGTTCATGCATGCCCTCTTTGCAGCCCTCCCTTTTCACTATGGTTATGCCATGTGGGAGGGCCTTTAGAACTACCCTCAAAGAAAGCTGCAGACTAGTAAATCTAAATGTTACCATTTTTCAAATAGAACATTCTTCTGAAGAGCCAATCACATTTTTAGTTTTGCTGTAACATATTCCCAAAGTACTATTCCTATATTATATATCCAGATGGGTACAAAATACAAAATATTACTACATAATATAGGATAATTTCCAGATCCTTCCCTATTATTCAGTTAACTAGAAGGTGTACATGTGCTAAACTGACAAGTGTACACATGTACACATGTATGCTTTGCCCTTTGATCCAAATGTAGAAAAAAGAACCGGGTTCCTGCTCATTTCTTTCAAGTAATCTGTCATTAGTAATTTTTAAAACTCTTACTTTATCATGTAAAATTATGCATGAATAAAGACGAAAAAGGAAACAAAAATTTTAACGATTTGTTAGATCATAAAAGTTAAGGTGATTTCTTTCTTTCATTCAGATTTCTGGCATATTTCCTAGATTCCTAACAGAGCTAAGGAAAGACCTGGTACTGTTTCCAAAATCAGATAATGCCACAGGGAGAAGAGACTGTCTTAGTTAAGGACAATAAACTCCATAAATATATCCCAAACAGTGAGCTAAAAAGTGAACTCAAAACCAGGGTCTGCAGTCTCAGTTAAGACAACTGGCCTGAGTCTTATTAATGTCATGTCACATCTTCCAAGGGAGAGCATGAAGTCTGCCCTGCCACCTCAGCAGGCTGCGAGGTGTCACACAAGTGTCGGAACTGTGTTACTGTTACTACAAGGTCTGGCTGCCATTGGCTGGCCAGCACCTTAATCTTTTCTTCCTTTGAAGTTGAGAGCAGACTTTTCTTTTTCTCTGAAAATACATATGATTTGAAAAGCAAGGTGTATCAGCAGGATCCGAGGAGGAAGCTAAGGAGAGTTCAGTGAAAGGACTGTTGCAAAGGGGTGTGGGGCAAGATTAAGGGGTCCAACAAGGGATGGTTCAGCACCCCAGGACAAGCAGGCCTGGAGAGGTGAAGGAGGGGCAGTTCCTGGAACTGAGCACCACCAGACAGGAATCAGGGTCTCTGCATAGCCCACATGCAAGGAGGAAACTGCAGGAATAAGTAAGTATTCCAACCTCTGGACTTCCGGCCTCATACTCGTCAAACACAACAGGAAGCCAGAGGGAAGAGAGCCCACTGACGAAGGCAACTCTCCTATGGCACAGACAAGAGTAGATTTGGAGAGAGGAAAACATTGCCCCCACAAAGTAAATAGGAAGCACTTCTAGTCCACTTTGTAAGCTCTACTTTACAGGGTAAGCAATAAATGAGTACTTTTGAGTGCTCCTTTATCTAGAAAATATGGAGTCCAATTTAAAATTTCAACGAGATCTCACTCTTTTTCCTGGCTAGAGTGTGATCAGTAAATGAGTAAGCAGCACAGAGCTACAGAGCCCCGTGAAAGAGGTCTCATCTTACCTCTCTGAAAAAGACATCTGCAGGAGTCAAGTTAGATGGGATTTCACATTCCCTTTTGTTCAAAGCAATCAGTATTGCTGTGTTCACGAGGTCAGAAAGCCGGGAGTGGTGGTTCTTGAGAACAATGGCGGCTGACAACTTTTCAGCGTGCTCACAGAGCAATAGCCGGGTTGCCATCGGCATCCCTCTGACTGGAAAAGTGCCTAGACGTTCAAATATGCCGACCTTGCAAAAAGCAAACACACATTCTTAGAAAGTATTTACGGCAACATGCAAAATACCACAGTCATATTTCCACCAGAAGCACACTGAGCAGAGTCACGGCCCCCGCTCTCCCCCAGCAAGTGCCTCCAGTTGTCTCTCATTTTGGCTGTTTCTAACACACTAACACACTTCAGCTAGTTCTTAGATCAGTGTCATTCCAGAGCTTCTGTCCACTACTGCTGTCTTTATCATGTTTCCCAAACTATTGTTTATAGTTATCAAATGGTCACACCTCTCTTTTCTATTTGTATCAATTAACTCCCCTAGATCTCAACCTTTTGGAAACTAAAAACTAAGCAGTCTCCATCTCCAAAAACTGATTTCCAGAATCCTAAAGCTCTGGAGGAGCTCCTGGGTGGAGTCTACCCCTTTGCATCTACTTCTGATTTGCCTGATGCCCATTTCTGGGGTATTAGGCAGTTCTAGCAGTTTTTCTAAGCTTTCTAATTTGATATAAGAAGCTGAATTGGAAAGAAGCCAAGAGACAGACATACATAATGAAAACATTTTTCACATTTTAAGCACAATTCCCTCCCATTAATAAGTGATTTGATTTTTATATCATTCATTTTTTCTATGCTTTTACAGTATTTACACGCTAGGAGATAAAAGGGGCCCTACTATGTATATTGTTCTGTACCGTGTTTTATTTTATAGTATCTTATTTTTTATAACACATTTAGATACTCATTATTTTTAATGACTACGGAATATTTCACTGAATCACTATCTTAATTTAGTCAGCCTGCTCACCTAATTATTTAAAGATAGGAGTTACACAGTCTTTCCTGATTTGCATTCACTTGCTGGTTCTCTCAAAAGTATTTTAAGTATAGTTTTTATGCAAGGCTAGCTTAACTGCCTGCTTTATACTGCTATGGTATTGTAGCACTGACAGTGAAGCAATAGTTCTAGTTAAAATCACTCTAGTCATACAACAAAGATGATCACATTAACTCTCTGCTTCTTCATGCAATATATGAGACACAGGCTTCCCACAACACCAGAAAACCAGAGGCAAAGGTATTCTGAGGCACTGATACTTCCCACCTTCTTCAAAATGATACGGCCTTACTGCTCTTAAGTTTGGCTTGAGAAGAAGCAAAGCACTCCAGAAATATATCCAGAAATATTTCCATAGAAGTATCCAAAAATATTTCCATAGAAGTATCTAGTTATACATTCTTCCTGATGATTAACATAAATTCTTCCTGATTAGTAAAATAAGCTCTGAATATTAAAGAAAATGGCAATATAAAAGGTCTACCTAGAATGGGGTTTTCAGAGCTAGACATTGCCTTTCAACAGACACTGCTACCAGCAGCTGTGAGACTTTATTAAGGTCTCTGGAGCCCAGGGAGGCTGGGCCAAGAGATGCCGCAGTACGCATGTTCTCACAGCTTTCTGGACTCTTGAGAAGTCCGAGTGCATTCAGTACAGCAGATCACGTCAGGGCCACAGGTTCCACCCAGCCCAGGATGCACACCCTTTTACAACTGAATGACTTTGCCACTCCTCCCATCAAGAGGTAGAACCAATTCTTCAATCCCTTTCATCCAGGCTGGCCTTGTGACTTGCATTAACCAAGGTCACTTTGGTGGAAGTAACATTACGTAAATTGTCACGTGTAGAAGACTACAGCTTCCATGCTTATCCCCTTGCGACGCTGCCCTGAGATCACAAGAAGCCAGCACAGCCTAAAGGAGGATGAGAGACTAAGTTGGGGAGAACCCTGTGGCCCCTGTTAACAGTTAACACCAACTGCCAGAGAGGCGAGCTAGGCTTGCGGAACTTCCAGCTGAGCACATCTTCAATGCAGTTCAAGGAGGGATCCCAGGTGAAACCAACTGAGAAACTGCCTGGCTAAGCCACAGAACTGTTTAAGCCACCATGTTTTGTGGTGGTTTGTGATAAAATGGTTAACTGATACAGTTGGCTAATTAAACAATTATATCAGGAAGAAATGCTGCATTTTCCCCCCATTAATCCATAGCTCACTACTTAAAATACTAAAAAAAGGACTCAATGAAGTTTTCTTGCCACGACAAAAAAAGAGTAGAATAAAACCAAAATATGCATTAAAACTGAAGCAGAAATGGGATTAGGAATAATCAAGTCACTTCTGGCATCATCTGGAGCTGCACTGTCCAATAAGATAGCCACTATCCATAGTGGTTAATTAAAATTAAATTTTAAAACAATTTAGTTCTTTGGTTGCACTCATCACATTTCAACTGTTCAGTGGCCGCATGTGGCTGGTGGCAATCATATGGAAAACACAGATACAGAACATTCTCATCATCACAGAAAGTTCTATTGGACAGTGCTGACTAGTGTCCTTAACATGGAGGCATTAATGCTTTTGAAAAAAATTAATCAAAACCAGGAATTAATCAAAAATTTCATTGATTTGGATATGTATACGCCTGGGAGCCACTATTTGTTGACAAAAGTAAGGGCGAATTTATGTAACAATTCTACCCAGCACCAAAAACATTAGGCTCAATATATAAGAGGATACCTGTCTACAAAAACGGAAAATAATACTTTAAGATTTGATTCTAATGGTGCTTCAAAATTTAAAATCTGTCATCATCTTAATATTCTTCAATGTCTTTGGAATAGTACAAAATCAACTCATGAAAGCTTAAGTTTCTACATAAGTACACGCAGGAAATCTGAATGAAATTCTGCTTTTTATAACTGGAGTAATAGGCCTTCACATAGCTCTGAAATTATTTACTTTTAAATCAGCACAGAAAATGGAAAACATTAGTTATATCCCACCCAATGAAACACCTCAGAATAAACAAGGATTTCCCACTGTGCTGGAGAGAGTTGACAAGAGGCAGAGCAGACATGTCCCAGCCATCCCTGCTCAGCAACCTGGACTCTTACTTGATGAATAAAGTCCATAAGGAAACAATGGGCTTTCATCTTGTCTTCTAGCTGGTGAAGAATAATCAGTGATGTATTGCTGAACCCAGGAGCTTCTGTGAAAACAAAGAACAAAACTTAAACATATAAAACATTGATTCTACAACAGTTACTAATATTGAAATAAAAAGAAGATCCATATAAAAGGAAAAGTATAACCTTTCAATAAAATTATTTATAACATTGCCCAGAAGTTTAAAAAATTTAAAAGAAAATTTGGGGAGTTTGATACAATTCATATTTTTATTTATTCAAAATACGTATTATTAGTTTCATCATTTGTATCATTTCAAGCTTGACAGTGCCAAAGAAACAGTCAAAAGAAAGGAGGTAAGCACTGATGTCTTCTTCCTAAATCTCTAATGCAGCTTAGCAGACTTTCAAGGAAGTAGCATAATTAGGGAGAGAAATATATGTTTGAGACAGTTCCCTGGCACTTGGGAACCCCAAGGGTGCCCTTGATGCTAAAGTGTAAGTGTCAGAGGGCAGCTACTTGGGGCAGGCAGGAGGACGTGCCTACATCTACTGCTCATTGCTGCTCTTAGGGAAATGGATAATTTCTATTAGCCAAATGCACTGATTATGCCAAAGTTATTTAATTTGGGGGCAAGTAAGTGCCAAATGCCACCAGTTTCCTTTCAGAAATAAAAAGCTGGGAAAGCTAAGCAGGGATAATTAATCTGCCATAGATAGAACAATTAGGATTGGCTCCAATATTCC